TTCCCTACCTCCCTGTTTCCTCTGATGAGTGGTACGCCCCAGCGTGCTGCCAAAAAAGTGAGAATAATTAAATGGCTGCATGTTTGAGCCTGGCGTTGGCTAATGGATTGTTACCGGGAGGAAATGAGACAGGCAGCATGAGGGACCTAAATGGCAAAGCAGACCTCGACTTTGGATAATGAAACACTGTAAGCCACTGGGGTGGAGAATAGACACACCTCTCATAAAGGAAATGCTTTTGTTCTATGACTACTTCTTTTTGTCATAGAGGAAGGTACAGTTGGTGAGGAGTCACACAGTGTGAGAAAGGTACAGTCGGTACTGCATCCCTTAAGTCAAGATAAATGTAGTTTTTATATTTTAATTTTCTTATGCTTCAAATAAGTGCAGCTCACTTAAATAAAATCTCTCTTTTACACTCTATAATAATAATCATTGTGGGTAATTTATATGTTCATCTTTATAGCATTTTATATTGCTTGTCTGTGTGTGTGTGATTTCGTATGTGCAATTTGCATTAAATTTAGTTGCATCATCACACTGCTGCTTTAGAGAAACCCAGGGCTGATTTTTGGCACTGTCTTCTCCAGCATGCCCCCCCCCCACCAACCGTACAAACATGTAAAGAGAAGCAGAGAAGTGGTGGAGAGAGGGGAAGCAGAGCAGAGGAGGGAGATAGAGGAGCAGGAAGGAGATGGGATGAGACAAGCCACACAAGCCGCAGAGGGAACAGGGTGGAGGTGGAGGGGTGGGTGCTGTATAGTTACCCTAAACCCTGCCGTAGGGCTAAAAAGACACATACAAACACATGCACACACACACTGGTTTGCCACAGAACCACAAGACACACTCAGAACAGTGTAAAACATTGCAATGGGAGTATAAAAATAGGTCCCTTATAAAGACATAATTGTTTTTATTGGTTCTACTTACATCTCCCAAAGTGTTCATTTGATCTTTTACTACTTTTTCAAGAACCATGATTTTAATGCATTTCTGTAGTTTGTATTTGATGAAATAAAGACATAAATAAAATTGGGAAATAAATCATAAAACTCCCGTGTGGTTGTAATGTTGATTATTGCCATGTAGCATCCTGGCGGGGGGGGTGCTTTCATATGGAGCTCTAATAAAAGGTGGCATCTGTCACTTTGATACTGACATTCCAGAAGAGCCTCATGAACACAGCAGGAAAGAAAGACAGAGAAGAAACTGTATACAATATATACTGTACTGTAAATACGAGCCAAATGATTCATAGTCACCAATGCAATTAACTGTTTTTGTATAAAATCCAAAGGAAGAAAAAAGATAAAAGAACAATGTCAAATGTGCTTTTTCTTTTTTGAATGGGTTTTCTGAGACACCTTTACATGTGAAGATATGTCGGCAGCCCCAACTATTTGCAGGGTTAAAAGATCAAAGTGAAAGGATGAAACCAAATGAATAAATAAAATAAGGGTAGGTTGCTGTGTGAGGTCAAAAATGTGGTTTTAAACTTACCATAGGCTGCTACAATCTATAATGGTTACCTCTGACCTCAAAAGACTTGTCCTTTAGCCTTGACATTTGACACTTTTGACCTGCTCACCCTCCACTGAGAGGAGGCAGAGGTCAAGGGCAGTTGGGTTCAACAGCGTGGCTGCTGAAACAGTGATCGCATACACCCGAATTAGCCTGGAAGATTAAAATAACCTCACGCAATTAAGCTAACATTCTAACAATGTTTTGTATTAATATTTTAAAGTGAAAAACATTTACCTCCCAGGGCCTTCAAATGATGCATTAACCAGCAGCTCATGTGCCACAAAGGTCCCAAATTTGATTTGCTATTTGTGGCAAAGTGTAAAAGTTGGGACAATATTTGCACAAAGTTATTGTTAATTTGAATTTCTGCAAGTAAATTTAGATATTGCAAATTCTTCCTTTTGCTTTCCTTTCTTTTTTGTGGAAACATGTTAATTGTGAATTGCTCAAGAGGAGTTATTCAGCATGTAAAGGTTACCTCTTGGTAAACATATTCACTCCCTGCCTGTGTGTGTGTCTTCTGTAGCTGTGGAGGACTGCAGGCAGCAGGAACTAGACGTCAACGCAAGATCTCGGGGATTTTGCTCTACACTGTACCCACATGAGGTGAGCTTGGGTTAATAAACCAAACCATGTATGTATGTTTGTGTGTCTAGAGCATTAGCCTATATGGGTTATATGTGTAAGCATATGCAATACCATAACAAACTTTAGGTTTTGTGTGGCTGGCTGCTAGCTATTATTGTATTTAGCCAAAACAACCCAAATTTACTTTAATCACATCTAAACTCTGGGTCTCCTGTGACCTCTGGTAATTCAATGGCAGTTCCATGGTAAGCAATATACAAAAAAAAATGCAATATGTTTAATGTCAAAAATAGACCCATTTCTTGTTGGAAGGGTTTTGACTTTTGGTGTTTTTATCCCCTCTGTGCCAATCTCTGCTGATGTGTGAGTCTGTGGCTCTGTGTGTCTATTTGCCTGCAGCAAAGTTAGCCCATGTGTGTGTTGGATAAAGGCAAAGATGTCAGTGGTGGTCCAGAGAAAACAGTAAACAGAATAACAACAGTTTTAAGGGGCTCAGGCAGTGTGATCATGGGTAATATCGACTTCTATGACCCCTTCGCTGTCCTGTGGTCCATACTAATGCAAAAAGCACAGAGGAAACAGATGTTACTGTTCACCGTCTATTCATGACAACATACATTAACATACACAGACCAGCAGTATAATAGCAGATCCAGGAAATGATTTCAAAAATTTTCTCTAGCCATTGAAATCCATGTGATCCCAATAATTGCCCTCTGCCCTGGCGTTGTTTACATTGCATGCAGGACATCTTGCTCTATCAATTACATCTGCAGCCATTAATACATGTGACATTTTATGTTATTGAAGTGAGACACATATTTTAATGAGCTGAGTTTACTCTCATGACATGAAAATGTTTATTATATTAGCAGAAGGCAGGAGTCAGTTTGCTTTCTTTATTTCAGCTATGACTAGACGACCTCTCGAAAGGCTGAAGTGGTGTAAAGTGTCAGGATATTAGGTGTACACACTGCACACAGTGTTCTATGATGATTGACATCTGTCACTGTCAGCAGAAAATAACAGTAGCACTTGGTACCCTGCCATGCCTATGCTCTTGATGGTTAGAGACAATGCAGCCCACACTGTAACACCTTTAGTAAGAAAAGGATTTAAGCAAATGACAATACCACAGTGACGCCGTGGGTTTTGTTTTGAGAGTTCTCTGAGTCAAAACGTTATTTCTTGGTGATGCTTAAAAAGAATAAGAGGCTAAAGAGGAGCGGTGGAATGTCAGTGCCCATGGGCCTCAGTGTGCAGTTGTGCTGTTTGTTCTAATTACTCCCCATACAATAGACACACATTTGGTTAACTGCTCAGAAGAGCCGAATGGAAGGCCAGGGCAGGTCACTGGGCAGCAAGAGTCAGTGTTCAGGCCAAGAAATTGTGTCTTATTATAGCCAATTCTGAAGTACATTTATACAAATTACCTTTTAACACTTTTGCCATCATAGCACTGCTTCAAATTGAAGCGATTAACTTGGGTGTTTTTCTAACTATCTACTGCTATTCCAGCACAGCGTCAGCTCTGCATTTAGGAGTGTGCTGGGGTCAATGGGCACGTAGTTCTGACTTTGCATCATTTATTTAGGAAGGTAGCCTTTTTTATGAGTAACATCTACCCCTCATCTTACATTGCCTGTTTACAGGATATGTATGCTTTGAAACTGATACAGAAATCAGGACAGCTTTCCAACTTACAATAGCAGATCCAGATGTTCTTTGACAGTATCAGGAAATGTTCCCCCTTAAAATAAAGACAAGGATTTTTTTGGACTTCCATTCTCTCTCTCTCTTTCTCAACTCTCTTTCTTATGCACACACACACATACATACACATGCAAAATATTAAAGTATCTGTGGTCCTTACTACTATTTTTTACAGCTCAGGCAATACAAAAACATTTACACAGTAAATTTTGTCTCAGTACCATTTGCTGAATATTAAGATAAGCACCCATGAAAACCCAGAATGTTTACTATACAGTACAGTTTGTGTACATTATATTGGCTCATTTCCTATGCTATACTCATAATCATCCATCAGGATGCATATTTGCAGTACAGCTGCTTACTATTAGGCTGCCAGCGGGAGTAAGTATTTACACTGTGGCACCCACATTTGTGAATATAAACCTTCCAGTCTTGTAGGCTGGCTTCTGTATCATCATTGCTAGCCCACAGCGATTAAGGAAGTGTTCTGCATGTGTCTGCATGATTAAGGAGTGCTTAAGCGCCATGGTGTGCGTGAGTGTGTGTGCATGTTGTCTGCACAGAGAAAACAACAACAGAGGACAAAATATGCCACCACACAGGAGGGCTCTGCAGTAGGCCCATTCACAAACATCAGAATGACATTTTTGCACAATAAAGACAGCACAGTAAATGCAAAGACATAATTCTTTATGATCTGGGAATGCAATAGCAATTAAATAGGATGAGTAAAACATGATTAAAACAATGTAAAAATATATGGCAGTTATTGTTATTTTTTTCTTTTCTGTGTTTTTTCTTTTTGATTTTTCTATTTATCAACCAATTCCATATTTCATGCATGAATGCACTCCTGTCCCCGTGCTCTATATATATATACATATATATATATATATATATATATATTGCAGCTTCTTTGCCTCTAATATCCTTTCCAAGGTTGTTCAAAAATTCTACAGAACTAGAACATATTCATCTCTTTCCTGTGCCAGGGAAGATTTTTATGTTTGTGCAAATCTCAACTTATCAATTTATAATTAAAACAGATAAAACTACAGGTGTTTTTCATTTAATGTCCTGGTAGCTTTCAGCAGGCTGTGTTGTGGCTCTGCGTAGAAAATGTTTCTTCTGCATCATCATACAGTCAGAACAAAGGATATGGGCATTGTAAAATCATGCAAATCAATGCAAATTGTTAGCAGCAAGGAATTGCATGGTGGCACGAAGGGAGCTTATATAGGCAGAGAGGAATGCCAAGTGCTTTGTATACACTGTTAGCTGGACAGTCTTCCTTTAAGCTGTGGCAGATAAAATATATTGGTTTGGGCTATTTTTGATTCTAAATCTCTATCAAGACTGTTAAAGTCTTCCTTCTTTACAAATGCAGTGTCTGAACAATATGTCGTTTTGTATTATTCCTTTTTCAATGGAAAGGGTTTTCTTTTTTTCAGTGATACAACAACATTCTTAGTGATCACTGAAGAGGTTATTCTAAAATGCAGTGAATGAAAATGTGATACAGTGCAAGCAGCAGTGTGTGCGTGTGTTTGGATGATGTGGTGTTTTCATCCTACCGCCTCAGAGAAATGCAGAGCAGATATTACTAACGCCGGTGCTAATGAAAGTCATAACTTTCCTCCTTGTCCTAACAGCAGAAACTTGACCGAATGTCACTTTTTTATGAACATTTAGAGGTAATGACAACACAGGTCAACCTGATTTTTCCTATAGCCTTGAAAAGAAAAATACATGTATGCTTGTGTTATTTTTGTTGATGTGTAATTTAGATCTCACCACAGGGTTTTAAAACACAATTGCATTAGCATAGGTTGTGCAAAACACAATATTTTTTGTACCTAAAATTTCAACGCCTCATTATTTTCATCCTAAATTATATATCCTTAATTTCATACTTCATAATTCCACACAGTGCTTAAAGTGTGTGTGTGTATATATGTGTGTGTGTGTGTGTGTGTGTGTGTGTGTGTGTGTGTGTGTGTGTGTGGTGTAAAATATGACACTGTTTGTTTCATCACAAATTTTTATTCAGCATTTTTCAATATATTTTGTAGACAAATTCTACAGTAATGCAATGAAATCCTTATATATAAGCCAAATCATTTTGCAAAGCGTGTGTTTTACCATGACATTAATTCCTGCAGCATCATCCCTGAGAAAAATGTTGATATTATTGTAAACATGGTTTGACAATACAATGTCCAGAGAGTCTGAACAATCAGCAGTTTGTTTCAAATTGCATACCAAAATCTAATTTAAATAATGCCACCCCCTTTCAGACACACCAACACACACTCGTGGACTAACCGCAGACACAATATGGTAGGGAAGAAAAGGGGGAGGACACAGACAGACATTCACAATTGTGCATAATGATGTTAACATTCCTGCATGTCTAATGCAGGGGATATTGAGACAGACGCTAGCTGGTTGGGGATCTTGCTGTGTGTTGTGTGTTCATGGGTATAAACCGTAGCAATGCATAATGACATATTAATTGTGGCCTGCTCTCGCTCGTGGTGTCTGGGCTCCTTGCTGAGGTTACCACCAGGCCTCTGATGTGATCGTTAATCTTATCAAACACATGCAAGATCACACTGCACTTTATTTTATAGTCTGCACAATGAAATTGTAGATGAAATCACAACAGGAATGACTGTTTTTTGAAGCTTTGTACAAAACTGCGAACAGCAGACATATGTATGCTTATCATTTCTTTACTCAGTTAATTGTCAATTTTGAACAATTACAAAGATGTTTAAATAAAATAACTCTACACAGGAATATTAATGTGCGTCAGTAGGTAGGATTGTCAAAATGCTAAACTGAAAGGAATGGCATGGCAACAACAATTTAAAACACCCTCATCCACGCAAAATGAATTTTTGCATTCAAGTGGAGTGGCTTAAAGGGTGTGCCTTAATCTCATACGCATGCACCATAATGTGATCCTCCAATACAGTTTTTTTAAGTTCCTCCCAAATTGAAAGACACAAACACAAAGGGAGGGGAAGTAGATATGAAAATGGAGTGCTGGCATCATAAAAGATGGAAACAAAGAGGGACAGACAGCATACACTAAGAAGGACAGGAAAAAGATGAAGCTAATTTTTCTGTGGGCACCCAGTGGCGTCTGCATTGCAGATCGCTGAAATCCCTCTCAAATGCATCCCTGGGCTTAAGGGGGGGTGGGCTGTGGACGGGTGAACAAGAGATGGGTTTATGCTATCTCTGCTTTCATACACTTTGTTTTTTTCCCCTCCCCCAACGAAATATATATTTTT